ATGGAAAGTGGAAGGCTTTGAAGACAGGTGACCTAACTTCTCTGAGTTATCAACTAGGTTCTCCATTAGTTCTTAGAGTTGGTGAGAAATGGATATAAAATCATGCAATTGAGAGGTTTGGCATACAGTGATTCAATTCTGAAAAATCAGCCATTGAAATTCCCATGGAGCACAGTTCTACTCTGACACGTGACTTCTGAGTCAGAGGTGACTTGGTGCCAGTTGGATAGTTTTACCCACACGCCAACCCTACATGAGGGCAAGAACTAGATTGTTATCTCCATGTCCCCCATCCCTAATTCAATGTCACATACTTAACAAGGGGCTGTAGGGCTACTGCAATGGGGACATACAGATGGCTTCACTTCTTGTGATCCAGAAAAACTTTGATTCCAGTTAGGTGAAAGTAAAAGTAGAAGTTTGTAAGGCCATAATGCAGTGCAAGTTGGCATACTGAGACAACCATAGAGAGAAAAATGAAGGGAGAGATGGGTTTGAATCCAAGTGCTTCAATTCCACGGGTGACCAGCTGTGAGGGACATTTTACTTCATATCCTCTGGCATTTGTCACAGTCCTGAAGCTAACAGCAACTAGAAACAAGAACTGTCTCTTGAGTAAGGATTACTTACTTAATTCTGACTCATAGGGACCCTATATAGGGTTTCCAAGACTGCGGCTCTTTACGGGAGCAGACAGCCTCATCTTTCTCTATGAGAAAGGAAGCAGAGAACTGGTACATGTACTGACCGAGTAAACAAGTGAAGCTGTCCCCTTAATCATTCTTCCAATGACAAGCGAAGTCTGGCATATGATCCAGGAAATAAAGAATTCAGGGTTTAATGAAATAACCAAATAAAGCAAGTTTAACGAAAGCAAGAAGAAACCTTGGACTCCCTAACAGCATCCCAAAGCCATAAATGTGGTACAGGATTTAAAAAGTACTCTGAAGAAATTAATTGGCTTTAGAAAACATCCATAATAGTTTTACATTTAAAATGGCTGTAACACAATGGTGATCCACATGCCTGGCTCACCGATAGAATGCAAACACATACATCATAACAAAATGAGAAAAGAAGGCAAAGGGCTGAATTTCTACATTACTGGAAGTCAGAGAAAGTAGAATTCTATTAGGTTGGTAAATGAGAAATAAAAACTGATTGTAATTCTAAAATGGAACCAATCACCCACATAAAACTCCCCAAGCTACCTGACAAACTGAAGCGATTTTCAAATAATGACATCAAGAGTCATAAAAACATGTGAGTTATGTCAACTGGGTGATATCTGTCCTTTCAATCTACTGCTCAAGATATGCAAATGAAAATCCTATGGTTCATGTTATCTGGAGGGACCAGGCCCTGGAGAAGGACATCATATTTGACAAAGTGGAAGGTCAACAAAAAATGAAATGGACTGACACAGTGGCAGTAGCAATGGGCTCAAATGTAACAATTGTGAGGATGGCACAGGACTGGACATCGCTTCATTCTGTTGTGCAGAGGGGCACTGTGAGTCAGAACTGACTGGACAGCACCTCACATAACAATGGTTCACAATGGATGTTGTCCAATCCCAGCTGACGATGGGGACGTCACAGGATTGGATGGCACTTCACTCTACTGTGCAGGAGGCCACCGAGAGTCGGGTCTAAATCGATGGCTGCCAGTAACATCTTCTGGGCTCTACAATTAGCTTGTTCTCATACAGATTCAGGAATCCACACAATGGGGGGCTTTAATAACAAACAAAAACTAAAACTGGTGTTTTCTAACTGAAGTATCATAGGTACAAATTGGATAGGTCACAGTCTAGCTGGCACAGACTCAGACATCAGATACAAGACTTCAAGGTAGCATTCCCTGCTGAAGTGACCATATTGGTGGCGTTGTTGCTGTTAAGTGCATTCTAGTCAGTTCTGACTCATAGCAACCCTGTATAGGGTTTCCAAGGAACAGCTGGCAGGTTTGAACCACTGACCTTGTGGTCAGCAGTCCAGTGCTTACTCTACAGTGCCACACCTGTACTCCATATTGGTGATACTGTCCTCTAACTCCCCAACGGTACTTCTAGAGATAGTATGTGACTTTTGTTAAATGCCTTCAATTTGGTTCTGACTCATAGTGACCCTGTATAGGATTTCTGAGGAGTGACTGATGAGTTTCAACCACCAACCCTTCAGTTCAAACCAATCTGTGGTCCAGTGCATTATCCTACAGTGCCACACCAGGACTCCGAAGACAGTACGATAAAGAGTGGAATTTGTTAGAAAACCAGAGGTTGAAGGTTCTTTTCAGAATAAGACATTGAGAAGGGGAGTTCAGTTCTCTCCGCAAGGAAACCAGCTCCAACTTTCCAGGCCCAAAGACCTGCTTCTATGCTTCTTTTCTTTACTTTATCAAATCCTTCTCCAGTGACTGGTCCCTCCTGACAGCATGTCTGAGATATGAGGGATGACGTCTAGCCATCCTGGCTTCCAAGGAGCACTCTGGCTGCATGTCTTCCAACACAGATCTGTTTGTTCTTTTGGCACTTTCAATATTTTCCTCCAACATCGTAACTCAAATGGATCAATTCTTCTAAGGTCTTCCTTATTCACAGTCCAACTTTCACAAGAGGTTATTGAAAATACCATGGCTCGGGTCAGGTGCACCTTAATCCTCAAGCTGACATCTTTTCTTTTCAACACTTTAAAGAGGTATTATGCAGCAGATTTGCCTAACACAATACATCGTTTGATTTCAAGGACTGTTGATGATTGATCCGAGCAAAATGAAGTCTTTGATAACTTCAATCTTTTCTCCATTTATATGGATGCTGTTTATTGATGCAGTGGTGAGGATTTTAGTTTTCTTTACATTGAAGTGCAACCCATACTGAAGGCTGTGGTCTTTGATCTCTCTAGTAGGTGACAATCAATGAGTGCAATTCAACTCTACAGGAGGAAAAACCCAATCCTTTGCCTAAGAAGAGAATGTTGTTTTTAGTGACACTGAGTCAGTATAGACTCATAATGACATAGTGTGGAGTGGCTGATGGTTTTGAACCGCTGACCTTGTAGTTCAAATCGACCTTATGGTCCAGTGCTTATCCTACAGTGTCACACCAGGCAGGACTCCAAGAAGAAAGTTGTTGCTGTTAAATGCTTTTGAGTTGGTTTAGCCTCATAGCACCCTTGTATAAGGTTTCTGAGGAGCAGCTGGGGAGTTAGAACTGGTGACCTTGCAGTTCAAATGACCGTGAGGCCCAGGGCTTACCCTACAATGCCATACACAGTCTAGGCTAATGAAGTATAACTCCATGCCTCAGGAAGAGAGAGAGAGAAAAAAATATATATATACTGACAGGTTCTGAAATGAAGTATTCAGGGGCCACTAATAGGTACAGATAGACCCAGGCTTGAGACCTGGTTCTGGGATTCTGTTCTGGCAACTGTCTGAAGTAATCAGTGAGATCATGCTATAGACCTGGTCTACAATGAAGTTGGGTTCTTAATGGCTGTAGAGTTCAAATGCCATCTGTCCTTAGACTCAAACAATGTCCAACTTTCTGTTATGATGCTGACACCGATTTCATTGTAGGCAAGGCTGCAGCCTACAGTAACACAGTGTTTTGAGCAGTAAATCATATAACTGAATATCTTCAAGTAGATATCAGCAAATTATACATTGAAACATTGTAGATAGTGATATTATTAACAATGGTGGTAGTGGTATGCCGTGGAGTTAGTTCGGACTCACAGCAACCCTACATAGGGTTTCTGAGGCTGTAAATCTTTATGCAAGAGCAAATTAAAAGAGATGGTAACAGGAAGTCTGCCCTGGGTACACACCCACTGACGTTATTATGAACACTTGTTTCACAAGACCCTAAGGGGCTGCCCACTCTTTGTGGTGGTGAGGGAGTGCAGGTGTGGATCCCCTACTTGGTTCCTCCTTCAATATACCATATACAACTATATATGGTAGACAGGTAAATACATAGATAGATAGAGAGATAGATCAAGATGTCATGTTGTTCGTTAGGTGCCATTAGCTTGGCTCTGATTCACAGCCACCCTATGTACCACAGAAAGAAACAATGCCCATTCCTGCACCTTCCTCCTAATAGCCGCTGTGCTTAAGCCCATTGTTGCAGCTACTGTGTCATTTCATCTTGTTGAGAATCTTCCTCTTTTTCACTGACCATCTACTTTATCAAGCATGTTATCCTGCAGACAGCATGTCCAAAGTACATGAGACTAAGTCTCACCATCCTCGCATCTAAGGAACATTCTGGCTGCATTTCTTCCAAGACAGATTCTATAGGGAGCTATGTATATATATGGTAAGTCTTAACTCTACCCCACCCCCTCGACTCTCCTAAAGGTCCAATGGAGAGCAATGAAATCAATAACAAACACTGTGGTTTCATGGGCCATGCTTTGTAAAATTTGCCAGTCTGTTCATGAGGAAGATCACATATCCAGTTCTCAGTGTTAATAATTTCCAAGAGGTATCTTAATAACTGGAGTCCATGAATAAGCCAAATGGCTAATGTCTGAAGATTGCTTTCTGAGAAATCAGCAATGAAAAACTTTATGGAGCCTGGTTCTAGTCTGACCCACATGGGGTTGTCATGAGGCAGAACCAACTGGACAGAAACTGTTATTTTAATGATTTTCATTAGCTCTGGAGTCATGACAGCAGCGGGATATCTATCATGAGGCAATCTTGACGAAAAAAGCTCTATAAACCTAAAGAAAAAAAACTACAACTTAACAGCAATGGTAGAAATAATAATGAAACCCAGAAAAAAAAAATGAAGGTAAATACCTAATTCAGTCTTTTCTCTCAGGGGGAAAATAAAAGGGTCTTCTTACTTGAGGAGAGTAATAAAGAAGGGAAACATATGCCTTTCATGTAAAAGTAGAGATTTTAGAACTTTTCAAAATCCATTGTTGGCTGCCAAACAGACAATTCACACCTACCTACCGCCAAACACCACAGAAACAACTTACCTCACTGAGGTAAATAAAAAAGGAGCAGGTGGACCCATCCACCCCATAGTCCGCGTAGCAGGGATCCGAGCGCCACATGTCTTTCATCCACTGAAACAAGAGTCAGACAAGGACAGGTGTAAAAAGGGGCTTCTGCACACTTGCTAACAGGGGAGATGAAGATGGTAGGGAGGCCAACGATGGGGTGAACAGTTCACACATGGAAGTCATGGAGATCAACATGACCACTGCTCAGGTCCTGAATATTCCACAGGTTGATATTGGCTGGAGCTTGGCCTCACAGAAGTGCTTATATTGGAGAGAGGCCATGGGGCAGTGCAGGTTATAAAGTACAGGCAATAACTAGGAATGTTTTCTGAAAAGCAAGTGTCTAATGGGACCCTATGGGAGAAAGATGAGGCTTTCTGCTCACGTAAAGATTTACAGCCTCGGAAACCCTATGCAGGGTTGCTATGAGTCAGAACCGACTCCTGGGCACATCACCACCACTACCACCACCACCACCACCACCAATGGGACTCTAGGTGTGCAAATGGTTAAGTGCTGTCCATTAACCAAAAGGCTGGCAGCTCAAACCCATCTAGATGCACCTTGGAAGAAAGACCTGGAAATCCTCTTCCAAAAAATCAGAGCCTTGAAAATTCTATGTGCAGTTCTACTCTGAAACACACAGGTTTACCAGGACTAGGAACAGGCTCAATGGCAACTGGTGTTTGTTGTTGTTGTTAATGGGGCTCCTGCATCTAAGCACTCCCTGATAAAAGAAACAGCTTTTCTGTCCTTTTTACACTACTTGGAACAGAGTGTGGAAAGATTGAATGTAAGTGCATTCACAGGCATCCTAACCAGAGACCATGGAAATGATTCTACAGTTTGGAACTGCATATCTCAACTGAAACTTTTCTCTGAAAACTACCCGACAGGGTGTGGACTCCCGGGGGGGGGGGGGGGGAGCTGACCATACAAACAGTATTTTTTAAAAAACATGTTTTTAAGAGTGAATGAGTGGCTAAGAGCTTCTGAGTTCTCAACCCCAAATGCAAATGTGACATTTAAACCACAATCTGGGGACTGGGGAGAGGGGAGCTAGGACACTAAATAACAGCAGTTCTTTGTCATTGGCTTTGGAAGGATCATCCGCTGGAGGCTGGGGGAAGAGAGGAAGGGTCACTTCAGAGGTGAGGCAGGCTCCTAAAAAGGCCCTGACTCTTTCAGCCTGACCAGTCAGAGCTGGTGTGTGATGCAGCAGAGAAGGGATTATTTTGGCCATGGCCACAACCTGGCAGGACTAAGGAGTTCCTTTAATAGCTCACAAGTCCATCTGGGTGGCTGGAGAGGGGAGGGCAGGGAAACAAAGGGGGAGGTAGAGCAAGCATCATGTCTGTCTTACCTTGATTTTCCCCTCGCAATGAGGATAGCCATCCATAGGAGGCAATACACATTTTTCTTGAGCTCCATTAATGATATCTGTAAAAGATGGAAAACAGCAAAGGATACCATGAAGTTTCTAAAACACAAGCAGAGAGGCAGGGAGAGAGGCTAGAAGAAGAGGTCTATTATACTGCTAGACAGCTGTGTTCTGACCCATGGAACCCTCTAGTTCTAACCTAGTTTGATTAGTCTGCAGTTGGGGAACTTACTCAAGAACAGCCCATCTCAAGGATGGAGAGAGAAATAAGACATGTGTGCCTGACTTAAAGCAGTAAGTGAGTCTCTCCAATCCCTGCTCTGGATTTACAGTTAGGAAAAAATCAAGTAGGGGGCAAGACATAAACCATGAGATTAGGAGGACCATCCTCAGCAATGCAGGCAAGCTGAAATCATGAGTGGACTTCTGAAGACAGGTGTAAGCCTAGGGCCGATCAGTTCAGACCTGAGGAACTCCCATTCTGTTCCATGAAGTACAACTTCGCAAAGCCCTGATTCTATAAGAAGAGTGGTCTCCTGATTGTTCACAATAAACTCTCTATGCTAGCTACTATTCAGTGGATTCCTACTCCTTGTAACCGAAGAGGATAAATGAGTATCTTCAAGAAATTTCTGGTGGCAGACAACAGATAAAGCAATAAATGACTGAAAAACTTAACAGACATTATGTTAGGGTGGGGCAAGGGTCAAACCCAGTCTCGAAGGGTCAAAGAAGGTTTCCTGGATCCTGAGACAACCAAGACAAGTGTAAAGATGAAGTAAGTGTGACGCAAGGAAAGAGGCAAGGTAAAGTTGGTCTCAAAGAACTGAGGCAGTACCAAATGCAGGACTACATGGTGGCTTGAATGAAGTATGAGGTATTGATAGATCAGACAGGAGAAGCAGCCAGATCTGAAACAGGGAAGCTCTCATAAGCCATAAGGACTTTAAGCTTCATTTGAGGGCATGCTGAAACACTGACAGGTTTTAACAGGATCTGATTTCTGTCTAGAAACGATCACTTTAGTTATGCATTTTTGTTGTTGTTGTTAAGTGCCATCGAGTCAGTTCCGATTCACAGCGACCTTGTGGACCTTGTGTAGGTTTTACAAAGAGTGGTTGGTGAGTTTGAACCACAAGTGGGTCAGTGCTTTAACCCACAGCACCATACCAGGACTCTAGCTATAATGCTAGGAAAATGTCAAGAACAGATTTGAAGCATTAGACACTAATGATCAAATACCACAGGCGTTATGGGATGACATCCAGATCATCACCCATTAAGAAAGCAAAAGGCCATTAAAAACACAAGAAAACAAAACACCAAAGTGGATGTCAGAAGAGAATCTGAAACTTGCTCTTGTACATAGATGAGCTAGAGCGACTAGAAGAAATGATGATGTAAAACAGCAAAACAGAAAATTCCAAAGGGCAGCGTGAGAAGAAAAAGTATTGCGATGAAATATACATAGACTTAGGGTTAAAAAGACAAACAGGAAGGACACGCTCAGCATTTCTCAAGATGAAAGAACTGAAGACCAATTCAAGCCTCGGGTTACAGTACTGAAGGCATGTATAGGCAAAGTATTGAATGACACAGGAAGCATTAAAAGAAGATGGAAGGAATACACGGTAACAAAAAGAACTGGTTAATGTTCATCCATTTCAAGAGGTAGCATATGATCAAAAACTGATGGTATTAAATGAAGGAAGAAGCCCAAGCTGCACTGAAGGCATTGGTGAAAAACAAAGCTCCAGGAACTGATGGAATACAAATTGAAATGTTTCAACACTCTGATGCAGCACTGGAGGTGCTCACTCATCTATGCCCAGAAATTTAGAAAACAGCTATCTGGCCAACTGACAGGAAGAAATCCCTATTTGTGGATTTCTCACCATAGAAAGGTGAGTCAACAGAAACTATTCAACAATATCATTAATATCACATATAAGTAAAATTTTGCTGAAGATAATTTAAAGAAGGTTATAGTAGTACATTGACAGGGAGCTGCGTGAAAATCAAGCTGGTTTCAGAAGAAGATATGGAATGAGAGGTATTACTGACATCAGCTAAACTTTGGCTGAAAGCAGAGAATACCAGAAAGATGTTCATATGCACTTCAAGACTATGCAAAGGCATTCATCTGTGTGATCATTACAAACTATAGATAACAGTGCAAAGAATAGGAATTCCAGAGCACTTGATAGTGCCCCAAAAGACCCTGTACACAGACTAAGAGGCAGTTGTTCAAAGAGCAAGGGGATGATGAATGGTTTCAAATCAAGAAAGCTGCGTGCTAGGTTTTTATCTTTTCACCATATTTATTCACTTTGAATGCTGAGCAAATAATTTGAGATGCTGAATTATATGAAGAAGGTGGCATCAAGATTGGAGGAAGACTTACTAACAATCTGTGATATGAAGATAGCATAACTTTGCTTACTGGAAGTGAGAAGGATCTGAAATACTTACTGATGAAGATCAAAGAATATAGCCTTCAGTATGGACTGTACCCCAGTGTAAAGAAAACAAAAATATTCACAACTGGACCAATAAATTGTATCACAATTAGTAGAGGAAAGATTGAAGTTGTTAAAGACTTCATTTTGCTTGCATCCACAATCAACACTCATGGCAAGAGCAGTTAAGAAATCAAAGACATGTATTACATTAGGCAAATATGCTGTTAAAGAACAAAAGATGTCATTTTGAGGACAACCCAAGTCATGCTGTTTTCAATTGGCTGTTATGTATGTGAAAGTTGGACAATGAAGATGAAAGACCTTAGAAGAATCAATACATTTGGATGATGATGTTGGTGAAGAATACTGAAAGTACTGTACACTACCAGAAGAACAAACAAATGTGTTGGAATAAATACAGTCAGAATGCTGTTCAGAAGCGAAGGTGGTGAGACTTTGTTTTTCATACTTTAGACATGTTACCAGGAGGGGCCAGTCCCTGAAGGATATCATGCTTGATTAAGTAGAGAGTCAATGAGAACAGGGCAGACCCAATGAGATGGATTGGCACAGTGGCAGCACTAATGGGCTCAAGCATAACAATTGTGAGATGGTGCAGGACTGGGCAGTGACTCACACAGATCCAAGCTGAATGTGCCTTTCCCCTGAGAACTTCACTCCTGTATGTAGTCTATGGTTATGAGTTAGGCTGCTAACCTCAAGGTCAGCTGCTCTGCAAGAGAGAGATGAGGCTTTCTGCTTCCATAAAGATTTATAGCCTAGGAAACCCCGCATAGGGTCCTATGAGTCAGAACTGACTTCACGGCACACAACCATCACCACCACCAAACAGGTGTGACATAAAGGCAAATTACTTAGGTGTGAGAATTCTGAAGGTATCCACGCAATGTAGTAGGTGTTCCAACACTGGGTTTAATCTAAGAGGGCACATAGCTCTCAGACTATCAAAAATGCTTCCGATTCAGGAAGGCACACACACACACACACAGTAGGAATATCCAATGACATAGCAAATACACATATCAGTTGTAGATTCTCCCTGACAGGCTAAATCTGTGAATATCTACTGAGAGAGACACTTAGGGAAAGAGACAATGACATTTCAAACAAGCATTGGGAAGTGTCAGAGACAAAGAAATACGGGACTAGACAGATTTTTTTTTTCCTTTTTACTCACGCCTTTCTCCGCATCTAAGGAAGGAGAAAAAGTGGAGGAGGGTCAGGGCTGAGGTAAATGATAAAGATGGTCTCAGAGGGACTGTGAGAATTGGAACAGGCTGATGCAGGCCTGGAAACGAAAGTGTATGATAATGGCCTGCCTTGATATGTACCTGCTTTTCTAAAGTGCCGCCACATACATTATCACGTTTCATATACACCACAGCCACTTGAAAAAGGAAGACAGCTACCTCTTATCGTTTGGACAGTAGGAACTTTAAAATCCTTAACATCACTAGGAACAAGGTCTCTCAAAAGCCTGTAGCTTTGTTTTGATGGTTACCAGGGAAGGGAAAAGGGGAGCCCTTGCTTAGTGGATACTGGGTTTCTGTTACTGGGGGTGAAATAATTTGGAAAAGGATAGTAATGATGGTTGCACAACATGACCATAATCAATGTCTTGAAATTATATGTGTAAAAATGGCCGAATTGACAATTTTTTATTATAGATATTTTGCCACACAAAAATGGTTCCTACTTGTTCTGTATGCAAATGCCAAAAATACATCCTCTTAAGACAAGATCCCGGAGTCCTGGTGTGGCGCTGTGGGTTAATGCGTCAGACTGCAAAGCCATTTGAACTGCAAGGTTGGCGATTCAAGCTCATCAGCTGCTCCTCGGAAACCCTACACAGGGTTGTTATGGGTCGGAACCGACTCGATGGCACTTTACAACAACAACAACAAGACAAGGTCCCTGTCCTCAAGGTGTTTACAGAGGAGGAGGATGCATGTAAAATAGTGGACAAGGTCACATGAGTAAGGTAGATCTGCTTAAGGCTAAGGCCCTGCACTGAGGACTCCACAGGCATCCATTTTTAACAAATGAATGAACTATATGGTAACAACAGAGTGGATAAGTGATTCTGAAAAGTGAAGAGGGGAGAACACACAGGATGAAAGGGAATCAAGGAACTAGTTCTGACCGATACACTAAACCCAACCAAAGGAATCTGGGTTAGCCTACAGGAAAAACAACAGGAGGGGAGAGCAAGGAAAGATGAGTCATTTCTGATGCTGGAGACTGGGCCATGGTCTGTCATGAGTATGAGTTATCAGTGTTTATTTAAAAGAGAAACTTAGGTTTTGTGAACAGTGAATCACATGCCACATGTTCTGATGCATTTCAAGAAAGCAAATATAAGGCTATCTAGGTATCATACAAGGAGTCCTGGTGACGCAAAGGTGAAGGCTCGTTACAAACCAAAAGGTCAGCTGTTCTAGCCCACTAGTTGCTCCGCAGGACAAAGATGTGGTGGTCTCATTCTGCAAATTTTGAAAGCTTTGGAAACCCTGCTGGGCAGTTCTACTCTGTCCTATAGGGTTGCTGTAGCTAGAATGGACTCGCTGGCAGTGGTC